TGGGTAAAGCCGCTACCTGCAGTACTGGCATCCCATATGAGCACCAGTTCGAATCCTGGCTGCTCCACTTCAGATCCAGCTCTCTGCTAAGGCCTTGGAAAGCACTAAAAGATGGCCCAAGTCGTTGGGCCCCTGCAGTCACGCAGGAGACCAGGAAGAAGCTCTTGGCTCCTGGCTTTGGATCAGCGCAGCTCCAGCCCTGGTGGCCATCTGGGGAGTGAACCAGCAGAAGGAAGGTTCCCTCTGCCTCTGCCTCTCTGTACCTCTGCCTTTCAAATAAATAAATAAATATTTTGAAAAAAAAAGGGCCTACATACAAGCCTCCTGAACTCTGGCTGTAGCTATATGGGCTGCCGTCCAACCTCTTATTGTTCCTTGTGTGATATCAGCTCCACGTCAGAGTTAGCTCCAGCTCTGGACTCTAATGCTGGGAGCCACTGTGCTGGTTTCCCTGTATAGGCCTCTATTTAGATTAACCTTCAACCACAAATCACTAGAAAGCTCCGTTTGTACAGACCACTGATATGGTTGGCGCTTGGCCGTCTGGCTTCAGTGCCCTCTGACCTCACAACCTCTTGTATCTTGATAAGCATATTTGGTGGCTGTAAAACCCCACGGTAACTCCCCTTGTCAAACTGATGTTGATCTAAAACTCCTGTAAAACCATTCCTATAAACTATGTTGTAAAATGATCCCTGCTTGCCCTCGACTGCTACAATCGTTGCCTTATACTATATAAGCTGCCTCCTTCTCCAATAAAGTGGGACCTTGATCAGAATACTGTCTTGGTCTCCCTTCTCATGTCTGGTTTGTCTCTCCATTCAGGCCTGCCCTCCTCGTGTCCTAGTTAATTACCCCATGGGCCGGGGTACTCTAACTTCCTCCCATTGTAGACTGAGGATGCAGCAGCGATGGCTGAAGGATTCAAGGAATGAACCAGTGATGAGCACACTTGCTCACTCTCTCTCTCTCAAATTTTAATATGTTTTAATTTAGATTTTTCCTGAAATTTATATACAAAGTGTACAAGAATCAATTCTATTTCACATACCCAAACCCTGTGAACCCTCAGCACACTTTCTACATTCCAACACCAGGGCTGGGCTTTCAGCCACTCTGAGCCACCTGCACAGCACTCACTCTCTCCCTCTCCTCCCCTCTCTTCCCCACATGTTCTTTTCTCCCACAATTTGCTTGCCATCCTTTCTCTAGGTAACAATTTCTGCTTTTCTAAGTTTATATTTTTTCAGTCTTGATGGATTGCCCCAAAAAGCAAACAAGGGCCTTGAGCTGTTAATGAATACAGAATTCTCCTAAAATGTTAAAAAAATGGTAGTAGACCATCACATATTTGTTGCTCTTGTAGGAAAAAAAAACCTATTTAGGGGCAGGAATTTGACCTTCCAGCGAAGTCACGGGT